GTGCCGAATGTACAATCTAATTTGATCAATGCCTCTTCAGCACTTTGAGCAATTACACAGCTCATCAGTCTTCCTTTCATAGAGCATGGTTGGGAGGAAAAAAAAGTGCATGCATATCTTTACTTCTGTCCCTCTTTTTTCTTTTTTTTTTTTTAAAATCCACATTTGTTTGCTTACACCCATTTTTATAGTGCCTGGTTTGTGTAACCAATTTGCCACTCAGAAGCTATTAACGTGACATTAGTTTTGTTGTTGCACTTCACTGTAGGCTTAAGTCTCTTATTTTTTTCTTCATGATGTCGGAAGCTTGTACTGCTTGACAAGTGCAATCACAAAACTATGAAAGGGTACAGATGCACTTCCTCCCATGACCTTAAAGCCACCATCCTGAAGGACTCCCCAGACATTCCATCATTGCAATAGCTCAGGCACGAACATTTTTTTTTTTTTTTTTTTTTTTTGCCAGCTCCTGTTCTGTAGTTGAATTGTAAAAGGCTGCCATTATGGACATTAGATATCCCAGCATAACCATCTGGAGTGTGTCTGGTTTCAGTTTTTCATAGGACCAATTTTAATTTGCAGCTTGGGGGTCGTGGGGGTTTTTTTGTTCTTTTTGGTTTTTTAATATGAAACTGCAATGTCATTATGGAAAACTGCCACCTTCAGCTGTACTGGGAGCTCTGACTGACTCCAGTCTTTCTGCCAGATCACTTACTGGTAAAGAGTTTTGCTGCTCTGAAGCCAGTGTTTGGATGAAGGTTGGTAGTTTGAAAGCTAAACTGTCAAAATGATGATGCCATTTCAAATTTAAAGTCTTCATTTGGCCTGTCACACCCTTGCTGCAGAAATTATGGAGTGAGCTGCCTTGTGCACGAGTCATCTGAAATGTCTGTAACCAAACTCTCAGTTCAGGCACGGTACTGACGTGTATGTCCATTTAAAGAGAACTGCAGAACTATGTACACAAAAGAATAAATGGGAGATGGTATTGGTTGGAATAACTGACTTGGCTGTCTTGTGATGAATTTTTTAATATGTATTCTGTGCCATACTGTTGTTTAAAAAAAAAAAAAAAAAGAACTGTTGCTATTGTGAGATGGATTTTAACCGACTCCGAGGGTTTCTTTCGAATGGCACTACCTTAGGGACATTCTAGTATTTGCTTCTATTGTTGGGCCTTGTGGATAATGTACAGATTTAAACAAATTCTTGTTGCTGATTTGTCCATTTCTTTCCCTGCACTTTGTTACATCTGGGATACAGTCTAACTCATCTGGTTTAATATGCATTTCAAAAAATGCCATAACTATTAAAAACACCTTGTTTACAGACAGATGAAATAAATTTATTCCAACCAAACAAAAACCAGACTGCTGTTAATTTTTTTACCCTCCATGGAAATCCTCTGAGGCCCTTCCTTGTTGCGTGGCTGACTACACTCGTACTAGAGTTCCAAGTTTTGTAAGACAGGAGTGTGGTGCTGTAACTTCAGTCAAAGGCCAGGTGGTTTTTGGGGTAGATCTTCTTAAATTAGGAGAACTGTAGCTTCCAGCTCTTAGTGCTAAAGTCAGAGCAGACTAGAACAAGCCCCAGCACTAAGCAACTTTACAGTTAGAAGTAACTAGTACAGAGGATGCAAAGCTCTTACTTGCCTCATAAACTTCTCCGTGTATGAATCCATGTCTTGTTCTGTACCTAGACTTTGTCTAAACCCGATGTAAAATTGCACTCACACTCTGACTGCAGGGTACTGAATGGGGTGGGGGGTGTGTCCCTCCCCCAAGCTTTTCTGGAATAAGGCCATGGCTGGAAGTCAGCATTGCACAGGCAGGAACAGCCATGCGCAGTGCACACCAAGGAGTTTTCATCCCATCCCTTCTTCAACATTGTTCCTTTCTGATCAGTTCCCCTCTCCTGAGCAAGTATCTCTATGGCACTTGTGTACTTTTTCTTGGTAAGAATTAGGCCTTAGCTCAAATTGCTTTTTCAAGTGTATTTGTTGAATTTGCACAGCAGAATGGTGTCCATGCGCCTCATTATCTGGGGTCCACCTAAAATAACCTTTCTTGAATAATTGAGACTCTGTAACAAGTTTTACATTTAACTCCCATTTCCAGATTAAGACAATTTAAATACAAAGGGTTACTTTCCTACACTAAAGGTCTGAACACCAAATTGTGACCTAGGTCAGAAATTTGCATCAGTATTTTTTTCCTTGCAAAAAGTCATTAGAAGAGATACAGTGAAACACTTTGCCTCAGACCTTACAAAGTTCCCTGTGAGTAACTGCTTTTATCTGCTGAATTAAAGTTCTGTGCAACTATTGTCCTGCAATGGGCAGGAGTCACCTGCCAGCCCGTTACACCCATCGCTGCAACTCCCTCCAACCACTCTCACAGTCACAGAGTTCACGGGGTTGTACCCCCCTCCCAGTTTTACCACTCTGGGTTTAGTAAAAGGATTGATAAACAATGCATGGTGGCAGCAAAGATGCCTGATCTAGGTAGTTTTCATGGTCTTTGTGCTCATGGTTTATTCCTTTTTTACCCTCTTGCTAATCTGAAAACCCACGGGTTTTAGAAGCTTCACTTGCATACAGCTGCCTTCGATACCTGCTGGCTCCTCAACTTCCAGCAGAGCTCCCGAACTCCTTCACTGTGGCTTACAGTCCTGCCCTTCGATAAAAAAAGCTCTCAGACTGAGGATATGCTCTAGAAATACTGCATCTTTTCTTAGGCAGCAGTTCCCAACCATAAGGAAGCTGAGCAGATGCTTAATGCTAAGAGATACTTAACCTTCTGAAGTATTTCTAATAATGAAGTGCTGTTCCTTCTCTAATTTTCATTTTCATTCTCACTGCCAATGGCAAGTGACAAGTAAACTATCTGTGGCACAAGAGAGGTGTGACAGGGGGAGTATTACTACAATGTTCACTACCAAGGCCGCTGAAATAAAAATTTACATTAATGCCATTACGAAATTTAGAAAATGGAACAGATTTTTAAAAAAAAAAACAAACAAACAAAACCCAACAAACAGGTACAGTAAATTTGGGATGGAAACAATATCTTTTGCTGCACTAATTTTCTCTGTATAGCATGGAGAGCAGCAGGCGAGAATCTGATAAAAAGTGTAATTTTACCTTTTGTCATTGCAGCAAATACTACAACCAGAGTTACATGTTACAAAGTTTACTTAAGTTACAGTTCTGGATCTCTCCAGGTTTTGGGGTGTCTGAAACACAACTGTGAATAATCACATGCACTCCTAACATAACAGCAGGAACCTATTTTAAGAAACATCTTTCAGTTTAGTAAGTTTTCAGAAATCAGTTTTCACATTTGGACTTACCTAGACACACACAAGCTGAAGTGGAACTTTACATGGTGAAAACAGAGTAATGCACTGTTTGTCCTTAGCCCCATGGATTGCTGGTGGCAGAGGTGTGAACATGAATCAGTCTTTCATTATTATCCTTTTACCATGCCTCACTCTGCAAAATAAACTTTCTCTGCTCTGAGCCAGTCCTGGAGAACTGATTGCCTTGCCAGGCTGAAGCAGGGAGGGTGTGGCTGCACCGCGTATTTGGTCAGCAATAACAAATGGAAACACCTCACCTGTTATCACCTCAGTCCAGGATTTGGCGTTTTCTGACTTCCAGAACACGGGCTCACAGCCTGCAGCTCTAAAGGTGCTGGGAGATGGGCAGGAAATACCAAGAGCACTCGGGTCCACCTTCCCTCTCCCCATACAAACTACAAGGACAGACACAGACTGATTCCAGCTTCTCAAAATAAAAGGGAACAAAAATTAAGGTTTTCTACGTAACTGAGTCCTCCCGTATGTAGCGCTGATCAGCACAGCGCTCTGTAGGTTAACGTTCACAGTTGCATGTTCTGGATCTTTAAAGACTTCAACCTCAGTCATAGATGTAGAAGAGCACACAATGAATGTAAGTAATGCAAAAGTTCAGTAAATTCCTTTTGATACTTAAAGTGGAAAATATGTTTATTAACATTCTTTCAAGCTTTCCTTATTCAAGGCCATGTAAAAAAATCTCTGCATTTTGATTATACATTGGTTTTACTTTCTACATAGTTACAGAGGTATTATATAGCATTTACTTTTCTCATGATACACTGGTAAGTACTGAGTTCTGTTAAACAGTTATAAGCACTTGTTTTCAAATCATGTATTTGAAAAGAACAATTTTTCTATATACATAGTTTAGCAGACTAACGCAGCATTAGATGCTTTTTAGTAAGAGGTATAAGAGTTGAGGATCAATAGAATACTTACCTAAAATTATTTTTTTATGTGGAACAAATCCTCTGTTTTGGTCACCCCCTCCCTTCTCCCCCCCCAGCTCCCCCATCATCACTGGAAACCAGACTACATTATAGTAGCAGTAGGGATAATTAGTGTGTTTATGGTGGTTCTTACCTTGTGAATTGCTCAAAACTAAACATATATTCTGAGTTTCCTCATCCTAGGATTGCTCAATGGAACTGCTTTAAACTCAGCTGCAGTGGCAAACTCCAAAGGATTCTTTGGAATCACTGCTTTGAGATAAAAGTGGAATTTCTTCTGCTTTGTTCTGATACACCAGCATATAGAATATTGGTCTGTTCTACATTTTTCATTCAGTAGTGGTGACTGACAGTTTTTAGGAAAGCTCTATACAAACATGCAAATACATCTGTTGTTGGGCTTAAGGGGTAACACATACCATACATGTAATAAATATTGCTATCAGTATGACCCAGTTGTAGCTACAAAATGGAAAAAAATACTTCCAGATAACCCCATTTTGACAAGATACATTTCGAGTCTGTGCGATACCTCTATTGATATAAACTATTAACATTATTCATTAGCATTGTGAAGTCCAGTTAAACTGTTCATTTTGAGAAGACAGAACATGTGACTGAATACCTGAATCAAAAATAACTCTAATGATTTAACCATAGTACTACTACATGAACTGCTGCTCCTACTGAAGAAACCAAATAGATTAAAGATTAAAACGTATTCCCTATGTAAAGGTTTGTAAAGTATAGCCTGAAGAACGCTTTTGTTCATACACTACTCATCATTAGTAGTTTTAAACAGTATTTGCCACTCTGTACTCCCTTTCATCATTGGGCTGTAGTTGAACCACTACACTTTCTTCGTTCACTCCATTTTCTGCATCACTGCTATCAACATTGTCATTGTCATCTTCCTCATATTCTGAGGACTCGGTCATGTTCTGATGGGAATGAGATTCTGACAAAGCCCCGAACGACTGAGTGCTAACTGAGGCTAATGGTCTAAGCAAAGGAGTATTTTCAGACACTTCATTCTCTTCTTGGCTACTGTCTGTTTCAGAGTCGGAGTCCCCCTGAGAAGGGACTACTTTCTGCTTACACACAGGACATGTTTTTTTTGTTTTTGTCAGCCACGGGTCCACACACTTGCAGTGATAAGCTGTTAGAAAACAAAACACAAATTCATCATTACCTAAGCGGAAAGGACCTGCAAAATTGTATTTATGTTTAGTAACACAGGAGAATTTTAGAATTTAACTCGTACAGAGAATTTTAGTCACAAGTTTGTTGGCATGTAGACTGTCTGTCTTTATGTACCAAAGAGATCAGGATCTCAGCCATATGGATATATGCAATAAATACCTATTTCCTCTACTGAATAAATCTGAGAGCAGTCCTGCAACGTGGAGGACAAAATAAACTTCTAAAGGTTCTTGAGGAATTATGCCCACTGGACAGCAGACAGGCCCACCATCGTTATCCTCATAATGCCTCTAACCTCCACTAAGATGTATCGAAGCACTTTGTTATTAAATAAAATTACTGCGTGGTTTTGTGGATTTTAAATTAGGTCCAGTTAGCACTGCAACTATACTGGCCTTGATTAAAAAAAAAAAAAAAAGGTGTTTGAAAGTGTCTGTCTTATGGTATTGAAAACTTAGCTCTGCTTATTAACAGAGACTTCTGCCTGGCAAAGAGCTGAGTACGGGGGCAAGCATGTTGTGTTTAGTACCTGCTCAAGCATGTCAATAGCATGTTCTCCATGACAACTGACAGTGATGGTTTTGGTTCGGTTTTCTGGTTTTTTGATGGGGTTTTTTTTGTTTGGATTTTTCTGGGGTGGGGGGGGTTGTTTGTTTTTTAATTTGTGAGCAATCTTTCGTATCAGCGATCAGGTTTAGTTAACTCTGCAGTCCCTAGCTGCAGAGTTAGGGATGACAGATGACAGGGATCTGTTCTTTCTCTTCTGAGAACTCTTTGTTTGTCAGCCCGTTTTGAAATTGTTTTTTATGACTGAGGATCTACAAAGCTTAGTCTGTCATCTGCTGCGTTCACGGTGGATCTAAGGCTGTAACATCAGTTGCCTCTTTTTTAAGATCTCTTAGTGATGCAGTATTTGCTGCTGCAGTGCCTGGTCAGAGCGGGAATTAAAGGAGAAAAAGCTGGGTAAAGCTGCACCCAGCCAAAATGGCTGTAATAGAGTTAATGGACTGGGAGGTAGAGAGAGGGTCTCAAGCTAGTAAGGATGAATCCTATCTTTCTGGATAGATTTTACACAGCTTTTATTAAAAAAAAAAAAAAAAAAATTAAATTTAGAGACACTCTTGGGCCCAGGCCTCTTCCAGATTTCTAGATACAAACTCTTAAAATACCTCTTGTACTTGCATGCAGTGAAGAGCAGTCTTTTCTTGTGGATAGATACATATGTGACTACTAGAGAGACCTTTTGCAGTGGGATGTCTTTGAGAAAGACTGTTCAGACAGTGCACAACTTGTCACATTAAAAATATTCCACTAATTTTTGCACCGACAACACTGACTTCCAAGCGCAGTCAAGGCAGTGGTCTGTATGGCTTCAGGGTACAGGACAGACTATATCCCTTATCCATGGCTCTATGTCACTTGATAGCTGAATTACATTTTCTGGTTTATTGTCTTGGAAAAAGTGATTTTTATTTTTTTTTAATGTAAACAGTAACTCTGGAATGTGTTTCCCTATTAAATACAGGCACTTAGGGGACAGCGTCAAGCCCAGATTTTCTTTTGTGTGTACAACTAAAGGAAAATGCCAAATAGGAATGGCAGCCATTTTTTGCTTTTAAAAAGAGAAAAAGTTTGCTCTTTTCCCAATTTGTACATACACTCCTGCATGTTAGCAAAAATAAATTTTATAAACCAATCAATCAACATATTCACTGTGGGTTTTAGACATGGTGTTTGAGAGCTGTTTTAATACAAATACCAGACCTAAAATACAGCCACTTACCATGAGAACATGGAAGGATTCTGAGCTTGTCTCCATCCTCATATTCATCCAGACAAATGGCACATACATCATATTCATCTCCTACAGCATATAATTGAGAATCAGTTTAAGAGATTTGCAACAGACCTTTTCAAACACATGCACACAGGTTCTCTTGGTTAGTTTCACAGGCTGAAGAAACTGTGACTCTGCCCTGTCCATGCAAGGGACAGGTTCTTTGAAGCTCTGTAGCTGACTGCTCTATTTCTCTCCTTATTAGGACTATAGCTAATTCACTTTCCCTTCAGTTTAATAAAAATGTTTTAAACTGTGTACAGTGCTACCTCTGTAATACTCTATCATTCCTATTAAAAGTAAGATAAAATTATTTAAAATATAGGATTCACTTTACACGTATTAATAAGTTATTGAGAAAAATTAGACAGAAAAATAGCAACAAAGACACATGGGTAAAAAAGTAGAATAATAATCAGGAATTATAGTCTGGTCACAGCAAAATTAGACAGAAAAATAGCAACAAAGACACTAATCAGGAATTATAGTCTGGTCGCAGGAGAAAGTTTACATTATTTTGTGATTCAAACATCACAAATAAGATCTACATTACTGACAGTATTGACATTATGTATGCTGTTGTATATACATACATACATTAAATGTACGTACATTATATGACCAAAATATAAACAGTTTTTAGAAGTAAACTTATTCCTGCTTCGTTTTTATCGAGGGCTTTACAACACGGTCCTTTCATCAATCCAAATGGTTGTTTCCAATTTCCTGGAAGACCCTGGCCCTCTAAATTTAATTTAAACCGCGTCCCTCAATGCATATGGATTCAAAGACATCTCTCTCTCCAGGCAAGGACAGAAAGTCTTGAACCTTTTGGTGCTTTCCTTGCCCCTCTCAATCTCAGGTTCTCTTCTGTGAAGTATACACAAGCTCAACAGAAGGGGAAGAGAGTGCCCTTTCCAGACTGGCCCATAACATAAATGAGGGCACTTAAAGAATGATAAGCTATGTAAATAAAGAGAAAACAGGATCAAATACAGCCTGGTCACAGTAAAGGCAGACAATGCCTTTGCAAACCGATTTCTAACATAGCACATCTTATCTACGTGGACTTTGGTATAACACTCAGTAATGTTGTGGGTGTGAAATGATCACTCCTAGTCAGTAAGATTAGCGAGGACTAGTAGAGGGAGCTGAATAAATGGAAGTTGCTACTAGTGGTGTTGGAAGACATTTATTAGGCCGGATGAGAGTTATTGGTATTGTCTTTTTATAAAATTGCTTTGGAACAGTATTGATACAGAACCAAGAAGCGTATCAGTTACACATACACAAGACACGATTAAGTAGGCATCATCAAGAGGGTAACTGGGATAGCACAGAAAAATCTGTAAATCAGGAATAATGGTACCTGAATGAATTTCAGTGCTATAACATGCAAGTGCATCCATTTAGGGATTATGTCCTTGGGAACTTTCAGCTGAGATTTCATCAGTTATAAACAACTGAGAAGAAACAGAGTGTACTGGTTGGTCTGTCACTACAGTGTTCCTAATGTGAAACAACTGGGAAAAAGAAAAATGCAACAGTAGGCAGCATCAAGAGTAGTCTCTCCAGAAGTACTCAGTACTGTTTAGGAGTCCGTAACATGGCCACTCATAACCTCAAAAGATTAATCCAAACTGAAACAAAGAATATTATGATCACACCAACAGAGAAACTATCAAGCAAGAGAAAAAAAAAGGGGGGGGGGGGGGGGAAGGAAAAAAAAAGCCTGATAATTTTAATCTAATAATCTGAAGGCTGAACAGGGATTCAGCTTTCTCTATAAACAACAGAGAGGCAACACTATGGACAGAGAAGAGAGAGAAGCTGGGAGGAGAGGAAGTGGAGAGGAAGCAGAAAAGAGCTATCATCTGACCAGGAAACATTAGGTTGGAAGTGAAAAGAAAACTTGACGATTGGAGCAGTGATATTCTGAACTAGTCTTCTGGGACCCTCGGAAGGTAATCCTGGTAAAGGGCCAAACCTCCCCATTTCTCCAAGCCTACATCCTAGTTTTAGGTCAAGGCTTTAGATGTGTGACACAGGAAGTTCCTAAGAGAAGAGCATCTGGAAGGATATGGAAATGGACATGTGAATCCTAGAAGCCAATGGAGGAAACTGAACCTAGATCCCTCAATTCCTGTCCAAGACTGCCAATTCCTAGGCTATATTATTAAAGGTGAGTAGTGCAAAGTACATCTTTAAAGAAGTAGCTACATTTCATTTCGTAAGGAGCCTTATTTCATTATATGGCTTGTGAATACTTACCTGACCAAGCCCTGAGAGAGACTTAAGCAGAGAAAGGGTCCCTGTCACTGTTTGGATCCCTTGCTTTGATATGAGCCAAGTCGAGTATCTGCTCAGCTCTGTCAAGGCTGGAGAAGCTCTGGCCATTTGCACAAAGCTGCTGTATCTGCAAAAGTTGGTGCACTCTTCTTTCATACACCTCTTAACAACCTAGACACATTCAATGCTGCTACCCACTATTTCCAGATGGTTCTTCTCCTGTTATGCCATTAGCACTTTATTTAGGCAACTGAATCTTACTGTCTTAAATGCTGTCCAGTACCGCACCACCTCTTTACAAGCAGCTGCTTGCTCAGGCTGCACACTCTCCTGCCCAAACTGTGGTGTACCAGCAAAAAATTTTCACCTGGCCCATTCCACCTCTGCCCCTGTTAAGCCCCCCCTGTCACATGGCTAGAAGCACATGTGCCAGCAGGCTGAATTGCAACCTTTCCTATCACTTGACTAACACATGTTGGGTTGAGGGACTGGACAGTTACAGGGTCAAATGATCCAATGAGCATTTGTACACCCTATCATAAGGGGAGTCATCTGCTCAACGTGTGGTGCCTGCATCCTGGTTATACACTTTGTGATAAGGAAAGACAACAATGATAGTGCCTCAGGAAAAAGATCATATGGCCCACCTTGCCCAAAGGATGAGCACCCCAGACACAGCCTGCAATATCCCGGGGGTGGCCCCAAAGAACAATGTCATTCTACATATTTTGGCAGTCCTAGCCCACTGAGTCTGCCTGTTCCCAACCTGTACTGTCTTCACAGCTGCTTCTCAATTTCCCAGTGCTCAGCAGTTTACATTTTCACCATCTTCAGGGCTAGCTAAGATCCTCAGTTTTACCATACAGCAGAGGAGCTAGGGAAGTAAGGAGATGTAGATCCCATCAGAAAGGCTATGTGCAGAGAAGGTTCACTCTCTCATACACCAAAATACAAATGGGAAAAGGTATACAGAGGCCCCTGTGATCTTGTGACCTCAAGGTAAAAAAAAAAAAAAAAAAAAAAGGCAGCTTGGATGGCCTATCTTGTTCCCAGTGCCCCTCAGGGCTGTACTCCCCATCTCATTCCAACCTCTTCCAGTTCCTTCCAAATTCCACCTACCCCGAGCCCCATCTACCCCAGAAGTGTTCCCTCATCAGTCATCTTCACTATTCGATCCTCCCGTTCCCTGCAGTTTCACCTTAATCCTCTCCCAGTAAACTTCTATCAAGTCTTTTCTAGACCATCTGCTGCACTAAAACGTCATTGCTACACATCACCCTGAGGTTTTACATCGGAGATGTCAGCTTTAAATGTGTAGGACTGACACGTGCTAGGGCTGGAGTTAATAGCCACAACATGAATCTCTTGCATCCTTAGTTCACCTTTCAACATGCACATAACACACACAACCTGTGAGACAACGCTGCTTAGAACAAATTTAGATATTTTGTTTTTTCATAGCAATTCCCATATTACCTCCCAAAGCACTATCCAGATTACATACATGAGACTGAGATCAACTAGGGACAAATCGGAGGCGTAATTCATACTCCAAGCTTGTTCAAAAGAGTTGATACAATACACAAGTTCTCAAAGTGTTGTTTTGGGGAAAAGGTGGAAATAACAGGGCAGATTTTGCTAATGTGTAGCTGCAGCGGGCCCACGTTTGGGTCAGGAGTTTACCCTACATTAGCAAGAAGATTGCAAATGAAGGAAGCAGGCAGATTTTGCTTTACTCAAGAGATGCCCTTCCAACACAGAAGTTCAAACAGTAGCAGAGCTTTCCCTTTATTGTAATGAAACTACATGGCAGGAGAGAATTTCTGTGAACTCAAGTCAAGATTTGTTTTGATACCATGCTGCTAAACCCAGTGTTTTTCTACAGATGGCAAAATTAGCTACATTAGGTATTTAGAGTCAGCTTTCAAAGAAAAACTTTGTTTTCTTATGCAACCCAGCATGGGTGTTCTGTGTCTGTTTAGTACATGTAAAGAGACCAAGTACAACACAGAGGGAAAATTAAAAGCTGTGCACTGGCAACGAAGGTGCTGAGCTTTTCAAGGAAGCGGCAGAAAGCTCACAGAAATAACACTGGTGACTCAGAGGTAGAGACACAAAAGATTAATCGCTACTGTCAGCTCAGATTTCAAGTATTACATGAAACTCAAGTTTTCAGGGAAATTTTGCAAAAAGAAGTTGTACAGTGACAGAAAAGAGGCAAAGATGTACTATTTTTCTGTTTAGGTGTTCAGAATAAGATCACTAATAAAGAAAGTACAAACGTTAAAAATTCAAGACTTAAATTTCTAAATAGCAACTTGACCAGGATTTTTCATTAACTGTGTAACAATATACTTCACCAAGAAAAATAAACTTTCTTTACAGATGTAAAAATAATCTTAAGCATTTGTAATTTCAAAATGCAGAAAATTGTCTGTCAAATAAATGCAGTGTAACAGCTTTTCCCATTCAGTCTGTAAACAATCTTTATCTCACAGGATTACTCTTGATCATGTTTAAATACTTTCTCATAAAAAAACCAAAACCAACAACAACAAACTGGAGTTACAGTAGTAGCCCAATAGCATTCATACAGAAATAACTGTAGCTTCAGCTTTTACATAAGGACACAGCTTATATTCCACATTACCAGAACAGAAGGCAAGGACTCCTCTGCCTAGACTCAGGATTCTTGCAAGCCTTCTTTTTCAGATGTTAACAAAAGTGAGCTAAGAACTGAGCCAGCTCATTAACAATAGGGCTGTTTAAGTCATCTGAATTTGTGTTTAGCTGCATTATTAGCGGGTGCCTTTTGCGTCATTCCAGTGTCAAAATATTATTGACTGTGATGTAAAAAAAAAAAATCAAAGTCATATAGGATTAACTTTTGTAGTTCAGAGAATTATTTTACTGTAGAATCCCATACTGTTGTGCACACAATTCTCTAAAGTCTATAGCAACTAACATTCTGTAGATTTAAAAATTTTCAGCATAAAGCATGTTCATGGAAATAGTTCTATTCTGGGCTTTTTTAAAGGTGCTTTTTTTTTAAAAAATACATACAACACCTGGTGTTGTTTATCTAGACTCTCTCTTCTATAGGATCATGACTGCCATGTGTTGCCATTCTGATAATTTTATTTTTTTTTAAGGACTTCAGTATTTCAAAAGTACTACACACAAAACTGAAACTTGTCATCTATTACAGATGTAAATAGAAGGAAACTCTTCTCTCTAAATAAGCCAAGGAATGCAAAATGAGCCTGCTCATTTTACCAAAATATTGGTTACACTTGTTTTCTCATATTTTATGATGGCCATGATGGAGTTTCTACTGAATCACTTCCACTTTAAAAGAAAAAAAAACAAAACAACAGAACAAGAACTTCTAACCTTCCTCCCTTCCAAAGGTACAAAACCAACAAAATACCTTAAATAGTACTCAATTATATAGCAGATAAAAAACCAAGGCACATAAAATATCCTTAGAAAGTGAGTTCTTCACATCATTAAAAGGATTTCTCTATTTGTGGGCATAAGACAGATGCTAAAAACTCTTCACGTCTTTGTAATAACAGGCTGATCTGTAATGCAGGAAGGTCGTGTTACCTACTACCTGACTTCTGCATTATTAAAGATCGCAGTAAATAAGCCAGACAGCCAGCAGCATGGGTACAATTAACAAAGACATAGCAGATTGTTTAAATTATAGGTTTGCTAAAGCTAGGAGTTTGATAGGGAAAAAAGGGCAGCAAGACTGCAGAGCTAAGTGAAGGCGCACATCTGCAGTGTGCTTCACTATCAGCAAAGGTAAATTACAGAGATCAGTACATATGCATGGATTACAATGTTTTCATTACAATTTTTTTTTAAACCAGAAAGGCAATAAAAGGAATATTAATGCAAAAAAAAAAAAAAAATAGTATTCATAGAGCATTGCAACATTAAGTATTCAATTTCCATAAGAGCACCACGAAGTACTAAGTATTCTCAATCCTGCTTTATAGGGATGGAAAGGAAAGCAGACAGATTATAATTGTTGGGCATGCAGTAAATCAAGAGTAGAAGTTGCAACTCAGGACCTCCCAGTTCATAGATCTATTCTCCAAATAACAGAAATCCATTATTAAAATCAAATTCTCATCTGTTTCCCAAAACATAAATCCCAAGGGCTTCTGTGGTGGCACAGAGTCTGTGAAATGTGGTTCATGCTTTTTTTGTTAATATATATTATTCAGCATAAAGGCAAAGCCGATGACCGCCAGTGGAAAATAATACTGCTGTAATCTGGCATTTCAGAAAATAAGCACAGTGGACATGAGAACCACTTATAAATACAGTTTTCCTGATAGTTACTATACAAAACGGGAGAAGATGAACAGAAAGTAGAAGAGAGAAAAAACCTCCCAGGCAGGCAGGAAAAGACAGAGATTAAATGGAGTCCATCACTGCCAGACCTACATCACTGAAGTATGAGTTTTTGTCTAATGTAACACAGGGAAGTGTTTCAGATCTAGCTTTTTTAAAAAATTACTTCCTCTTTTGCTATGACATTACGTCTCTCTGCTGTTTCTATTAGTCAAACCGTGTTTATGGATCATTTATAATCAGCACATTATTATCATGGTCAACACAGAAATGAATGTTAACCATCAGTCAGTCCTGTCAAGGGCACCATATCTCAGAGGAAAAAAGAAAAAAATTAAAACAATACACCTGCCCTTTTCCCCCCACTAGTCATCCAACATGTATGAGAAAGTCCTGAGAAATGACAGCAGACTGTTCTTGAGCAGGCTTGCCTCACTGAGGCATCCCCTGGCAAACGAACAACAGCGCATTGAGAAAGAAAGACACGGTGGTAAAGCATCACATCCATTTCTAGGCAGGTAAATACAGATAAAGGTTTCTCAGTAAGGCCAACGCTAACGTTCTCAAACACAGAAGCTACAGATCTATCCAACCGCATACTGGCTAAATGCCACAGAGATACTGCTCTGACTCTTGTCAAGGCCACGTATCCCAGCCCACCTTACCCAACTTCACAGCCCCATCTTCCATTGCACAGTAATTTGCAACAGAGGCCCAACTTTGCCTGCACCCACTGGAACCATCAACTGCGGTCCACCTGCGACATTCCTCCAACAGGTCATCACACAAACTAATTAACGCTGTTACCCAGATTCTTGCTCTTGTCATGGCTTGGGGATGGGAGGCCAGCCCATGCAGCAGCCAGGACCAGAAACGCCAGCCCTCCTCAGCACCGAGACCTGTACAACTGCTCTGTTAATCCTGGAGCCTCCTTGACTACTCTCCAAGTCAGCTTTACCTCTGTGGATTTAATTTTTAAAAGGGACACTTTGTAGACATTTTTTCCTCAAATAGCCAGACCTGTGTTTTAGAAGCTGGCTCAGAACCACCAAAAATCAGGGGGGGAAAAAGGAAGTATGGAAACTGCTGCAAAATAAAGTATCTTGCTTCAAAACAACCCGTGTATGAAAAGCCTTTAGTAAGCAAAATTATCTTCTAACTACTTGGCACATATAAATAAACAAACACTATTTTCAGAAACACAGAATTACTCATACACATATGTGTGTACTAGTGAACAATAAAAAATGCAAAAATAAAACTGTCGAGACTTTGGTAGATCTTATGACTTGTTTTCTCTAATAGACCATAACTGCACTGTGCAGTCAAGCAGACGAGTCAGTAATGAACAGTAATTAGATCAGTTCTAATCCCATTGTAGGGGAAAAAATGAATTTAGAAATACATAGTAAACTGCAGAAGTGCACTTACTCCGGAGCAGATATTTTAAAGGCACTGAGATACATCTATTTCCCAGTTTTCTCAATCATATATATCAATCTGCATATCAAGATTATGTACACAAAAATTCAATACACATGATACTTGAAAATATGTATTTGCTTAAAATAAGTACTCTTACAGTTCATTATTTGTCACATATGTTGGGGATATGTTGGCGAAGAACAGTAAGTGGCTCCATCCTTGGAATGCAGGCACATCCCACAACCCCTAGGTCTTTGTGCCTCGGCACATACATTCTCTATTGACACGTTACGTAGTAATCAATCCTTTCAATTAAGTACTTTTTCCACCTTTCTTCTTTCCACCTTTTTTTCTTATACCTTGCAATAGCTTGTATGAACAAACAATCAGATGGTAAAATGGTAACACATTTAAAAAACAAATTTGACAGATTTTTTCCTACTTTTAAGGAATAGACCAAAACAGAAAGACTTAAGGTCACTCCTCTATTTCACTGAATAAAGTAACTTACTACAGCTTTATTTCTCATCTTGTCACTAGATCTTGCATAAAATTAATCACTACAAAGAATCACAACAGCAAGTATTTTGGCATTAAGTTTGTATTGCTCTTGCCCTCACTTTAGTATTGTGGTTGAATGAAAGGATACCTCCTCTGGAAAAGCAGGTAAGTGACACTTACAAGATAGTGGAGTTTTTTTAATGGTCTCTACAATGTCAGGCAACTTATATGCCACTAGTTTCCTAACAAATAATAATAGAACCATAGAATGGTTTGGGTTGAAGGGACCCTTCAAGGCCATCTAGTCCAACGCCCTGCAGTGAGCAGGGATATCTTCAACCAGATCAGGTTGCTCAGAGCCCCGTCCAACCTGACCTTGAATGTTTCCAGGGATGTGGCTTCTACCTCCTCTTTGGGCAACCTGGGCCAGGGTTTCACCACCCTCATTGTAAAAAATTTTTTCCTTCTATCTAGTCTGAATCTCCATGCATTTAGTTTAAAACTATTAGCTCTAGTCCTATCACAACCCACCCTACTAAAAAGGTGTCCCCATCTTTCTTATAAGACTCCTTTTAAGTACTGAAGGGCTGTAAGGTGGTCTCCCTGGCATCTTCTCTTCTCCAGGCTCAACGATCACAACTCAGCTTTTACTCACAGGAGAGGTGTTCCATCACTCTGAAATTTTTTGTGGCCTCCTCTGGACCCGCTCCAGCAGATTGATCTCCTTCTTGTACCAAGCACCCCAGAGCTAGACACAGTACTCCAGGTGGGAGTTACAAATAATGGAAATAACACATCATGGTGACTAACTACTCTGAGATTGCAACAGGGAAGTTTTGTGGAATTTCTGTACTGATTTTGTGGTATATTAAGCAACATTTTAATTCCCAGCCACAGTCTGCATATAGTGTCTACTCTGCTTGCATTAAATAAATGTTAGAACTCCTCTATTTCAGTGAAGAACGGGGTCAAGACAAACTTTGTGTGCTTCCACTCCAAACTCTACTACCTATTTCAAGTTTACTCGAAATTATACCCAAAACTAAAAGTCCCCTCAATTTACAGGTTTTTTGGTGTTAAAAACAATAGGGTCTAATTAGTTAGAGAATGATCCACTTGCCTTTCTTGAATTTATGTACAGGAATTTTCTTAAGCTGATCCTTCCTAAGCCGATTCCTTCTTGCTCTGTGCCTGTCTTGCACAAATTTTGTGATCTGGAAACAGACATAAGTAAGACAACCATGAAAAGACAACCAAGTAAGTTAAAACAATAAAAGAACAATAAAAGTTTTGATTTACGAGTCTTCACAGTAAGTTAGTCAAAAGGGAACCCCAGCTCAAACTGAATCACCTCTTCCCTTGCCTGGACTCAAGGATGAAGCTAAACAAGCCTAAAGGACGTTCCCAATGATCACAGCACTTGAAACTGAAAATATACAGGCTTTTTTTGAAAAGGAAAGAAAAAAAAGAAAATTATGTCCACACTATATACAATAATGGCCATTGCTACAATCCTCTACCAAGGGCCATGTACAGTCAGGTGGCACATTTCAGAGCAAAAAATTAATCATGTTTGACTGGTTTTGCTTACAGTTTTAGATTATTATAGCTCTTTTAGAAGATTATTCCCCTGTTCATCAGAACTGTTTTCATAGTATCTAGATGCAGTTTGGGGAGGAGTAAAGGGGTTACTTTAGGCCACAGCTACTTGCTGTCTTCAGCTATACTAAAGATTGTTTCAGTTTTCTTAACTGCCACTAATGCTATTTCTGTTCGGTCTCCAATTCTAGCATCTCTGATATGACATTCTTTTTCAAATATACACTAACAAGTCTTTTGAAATTTGCAGAGATGCTCTACATCTACCTACACTGTGGACAAGGTAACCACTGAGAGAGTATTAATATTATAAACAGCATTAATATCTCTCATTTTAGGAATCCCTGAAAGGCATTGCTATATTTCACAATAGATTTTTTTTTTTTTAAGTATGAGTGTATGTATATTATGGACAGATATTATTAGGACCGTTTGAAACTGTCATTGGTTTTGGTAAAATAAACAGTGGGACTAACTTGTATTAGGCAGTACAAGTTTGGTAAGGTGGGACACACTTAGTGTTATGAGTGCACAGGACAGGTCATTCTCTATGGGGCAAAAAAAGAAAGCACTTCTGCAGTGGAAGAGTAGCAGTGAGGACAATTCTTAGTAAGTAATCATATGCCAGGCAGAACAGCCTCAGGGCTCCCAATATCCCTTTGCCAAAATTGTGCACCTGCTTATTGTACTGAGAAAAGAAAGATTACAAGTAAGCATGGTACAGCTATGTAAAGTACACAAAGCTTTTGCTGTTCCTTTACTGTGTCCCTTTATTTAACTTCAGTAAGTGACAGCTCTATGATGATTTATTTGAAAGAAAAAACATTATTAAAAGAAGGAACTTACCATAAATATGACGATGAGAATAAGACAGATCCCTACTATTATTAAGAAAGGGATTAAGTAGTACTCCAAAGGAAGACTGAACTCTGGGATTAACACAACATGGCCACTGTGGGGGAAAAAAAGATAATGAACAATGAATTAAAGAATAAATACATTGAAAAAAACCCATTAAAATAAAGAGTTATCACTAGACACACTAAAGGAATACCTACCTGTGCACAGCAACATAGAAAATTCAGCTGATATCCACATAATGTAAAGCCAATTAAATAAAAGGATAAAATGTTTCTTTGAGTTAAAACTACTAACTCACTTCAATCATAAATAAATCTAAAGCAACCAGGAAAACAGCCTCACAACTGCTTTGATAGCAGAATGAGAAAAATATAACGTAACTATCAAAAGATACTGTGAAATAATTCATTCTGATTTACTAAAGCCTTCTGGGTTATATGGGAGGTTTACTTTCAAATCATGAAGCATGGTAAGGTGCACCCTTTGTCTTCTGGAGAGTCAATAAATTACAGTACAGTAACTGAAAATCTTCCTGAAGAACCTGATACAGATGCTGGCACTAGTATGTATTGATATTTAAGGAAGTAAAATCCCATTATTATTCTGTTGGCAGAAGCAGTCAGAAACACCTGAGAAGGTACGATGGATAAAAGCGTTAGTAGTTCCATAACCACTACTCACGTGGAGCCACACTTCATTTATCAAGTTGTTTCATCAGCAGTGTGTCTACTTAAGAATGACACAATCTAGTTTTTCTGATTAATTTACTGAAAGGACACCAGAGACACCTGAAGAAGCAAGATCATTAAACTAATACAAAACACACCTCCTTTTCCATCCTATTCAAGGTATGTATTTTAACCATCTTGTTCTCACACTGCTTTTCTTTGTAAAGTTTTAAACTTAAAAGCAGAACAGAAGCAGTGCAAACCTAAGTATTATGCATCCTGTTAGAATCATCCTAAATGCATACTGCGGATTCACCTAGCATAGGAAATTCTCTCAGACTTGTTCTGGAAGTATTAATAAGGAATTTTTTTTGTTGTTGTTAGAAGATCAGCATCTGACTTCAATGGGAACCAACGTACATTGTAAAAAGGACGTTTCTTTAGATCTGAAATATGCATATTCTCACAAACACCTGTGGTTCCTAGGTCACTAGCTAAACTCATATGTTTAATACAATATGAAAATGAAGAAGTAACATTCGATAAATATCAGGAATGCAATTCATACTAATTTTTAAAATGTTTTCTGTCCATTGCTCTCAGATACAAGGTTTCACCCAGAATACCTATAGCCTCTATCACTACAACATCCTATTTCAAATCCATAAATATCAATAAGAGGCAATGACTTAATTCAAGGAATAACACAGCTGCATGTGAGGTTAACTTACCCCTTTTCATAAGTAAATTCTTCTTTAAGAGAATTAGCCGACGTCTCACCAATAAAGACAGAAGGAATGTCAATCTTCTTTAAAATCTCAACTGCATTAAAAAAAAGAGCAGGAAAATAAAACTACTATGATGCAGACACTCCGTGGGCATTCTTAAGACATAAGACTTGAACATTATGAGACTATCACAATGTGAAGACATATTTTAACATAATGACACATAGACTGATGCACATGCATGCTACATCTTTACATCATATAAGAAGTGGTATTATTTTTCCTACCAAATATCTGAGGACTTTACTGCAGGTATAGAAATCAAAATTCTGAATGGAATATTTGAAGGGAGCATAATCAGAGTAAGTTTAACCAGAGAATCATTCTTACTCAGAGACTTTATAACGTCACACAGCTCCATTGATTTCCAGAATTTCTGGCAACTCATGATTTTGTGACCTAGTACTGTACATTTTAATTAATCTTTCTTCCCTCTTTTTCACCCTAAACATAATGAACACACTGGAAACAGTTGTAGCTAGAAAAGGTCAAAAAGAATAAAGAAGAGAATGAACAAATCTACACATCTTTATTTCAGTCTCGAGAAACTGGATGGAACTGTCTCCCCCTTCTCTGCTTTCTGGTGAGGGCAATATTAAGCTCAAAAGATACAGCACCAATGAAAACTTATTGAAAGACAGATCCCATATTCTAGAAAACCATCTCCTCGCTTCACTTTATATTGATTTGCACCTCTGACTTATGCTTCACATTTTAGGGTTAAAGTATCTTGAGTTTAGTCAAGTCAGTATCAAAGCATTCGGGTTCCCTGAGGCAAAAGCATACATGGCTTAATGTCACCTCACGCTACCCGAGTCTGCATTTGTTGTGAACTTGCTATCCATCTTGATTTCTCAGTGAAACCTGAAAATAAGATTCACATGGTTTGGGAATTCATTAAAACCACTGTCACATAATGGGTTTTTTTCCCTGGGCTACGCAGCTGCCATTTAGGTTTGCTGAAAGTTCATTTCCTAGTTTACTCAATGGTGTTTCCACTTGGAAAGGCTTTTTTTGCTCTCATTTATGCCCTTGTACCATATTCAGCAGGCTCAAAAACTGCACAAAATAAAGAAATGCCACAAAGAAAGTCGTAACAGCACTACAGACAAAAGACACATACCATAAAACAAACCCAACATTTTGACTAGATCACAAGACACTCTGGACATACTCACTCCATGAAAGGTTTAATATTGGAACAGCTACCATTGGAATCAATCAGAAATTGGCACACTGCTCTCTAAATATTCTTTTTCCAACTGAAAAACTGAAAATCTGTACATGTAGTATGTATTCATATGAAATTAGAATCCATTTGAACAAAGGAACAGAAAAAATGTACACAATAGTGCCACAACAAAATGGAACCATTAACAAATACTAAAAAGTTGTATTTTAAAGTTTGATTTCCTTCCAAAAGAGCAGAGTTTTTTTACTTTTCCTATATTTCTATTTAATTAACAACACTATTTTTCACAGGATTTCTGTTTGGGGAGAGTTTTTTGTTGATGGTGATGGTTTGTTGGGGTTTTTTAAGTGAGAGTTCCTCATAACACTTTATACTGATTTTACCACTCTATACTCCGGTGGGTGAAATGATTTTCAAACAGGAGAGAAGAAGTGATACCTGTACTTACTGTCGTTGGATCCCATGCTTATGAGGTCATCAGAATCAACATTGTGAACTATAGCTGCCTTGTATCCAGCTCTCTGTGCATTTAAAACCTGTAAGCCATATAAAATATTTATTAGAAGAACTACTGCTTCAAAATACAGTAACCTGCCTGTCCTCTCTAAGACAAGGTACACTTTCTGGAAGTTATAAATATCAGCACAACATCACTTGCACTTATAAAACAAGTGTCACCTTTCAAAATTAAATCCTATAATTAGTCTTACACTCACGTAATTATGTTATTTTTCCATTAAAATAATTTAATATTGCTGCAAACAGTTTTTGCATATATTAAAAACAGGATTAAAAACTTTATATGGGTAGATAAAAATAATATTTAATCATAATTGAAAATAAAAGCTCTAACTTACTTTGGTAAACTAGAAATTACCACTTGATAGCTCATGAAGTCACACAAACAATATCTTTCCTGTGCCTTCAGAGATGTGGAAATATCTTACTTGACAGCCTAGGTATCAGAAGCTTTCTCATGGAAAGGTACAAAATTATAAGTATGGGTAGAAAACTAGAAATATATTGTGCACCAGTTATGTTTCTGATATATAATGGTTTTTTTGTCAATACAAGCAAAGCCTAAGGTCCATGTAAATGGCATTTGCTGCAGTGACTATCACTAATGTAAACATAGCTAGGCTACAACTATTCATCTTAGATATGGCTGCTAATGCATCCATGACAGTATAAAAACTCATCACAAGATGCAAAAAACACTAGAGAGCCTTGAGGAACACTTGGGTTTCATCCCACATTCAACTCGTATTTAAAGCTATGTAATAAGCTTGGCTATAGCTGGAGAGACCTGCTATGAACTGAGCTAGTATGGGATCCAGTGATAGCTTTTATTTCCACTTAGGTGCACATATTTATTTAAGGAGCCTGTAATGCAAATACATATTTATGTAACAGGTAGACAAACAACCATTAAGTAAAACTGAACAAAATACCACAGCTTTAAATATATTTGAAACTGGAAAACAGTTGCAGCATTCAGGTATTATGGCATCACAACAGCTTTATTAATCAGTCAAATACCGACTACAGCACCACCCTTACAAACCAACATACATACAAACACATCTTATGGAACACTGTCCTACACTAATTCACCAAGAAATCACCACCAACTCTCTTTTACAGCAGACTACCAGAGCTCAAAAGCCCAGGGGAAAATTCTGGTGCTCTTTTACAAGACCTCTACCCTCCAAGTCAGGAGAGGGGAAAATATATTTTTATATATACACACACAGGCACACACACTCCCAGCTTCTGAAGAGACAAACAATAATAAGGAACATGAGTTGTTAAGCTGGAAGACTTCCACTGATTATTCTTAAAAAAGGTTCTCTAAGTCAAGCTTGAAACATGAAGCCTTCTTGCACACTGCACAACAGCAAAAATAGAAAAAAAAAAAGGCATGAGAATTTTAAATAAAACAGTCAAAAGTAAGACAAGGAAAGGTTTAAAAGCATTGAACATCGACATATCTGAGCTTGTGACACAGAATGGCAGTAAAAAACATCCTTTAAAAACATTCCCATCCTTCCACTTGTGCAGTTTCCACCCGGCAGTGCACTCTCTCCTCTCCCCATCAACCAGCTGTGACACTACCATTGTTCACGGGGTCTCAGTGTGAGCCACAAGATGATGATCCAGCTATTAAAAACTAAAGCAATTCAGGAAAGTGGCTCGCAGATTTTGGGAGCTCTTATGTTATCTCCATTCCCTAATCTCACCTGCAATCCCTGGCAGCAAAGAGTCTGGCAAGAAAAGCTGATATTGCTACTGAATGCTTTCTATTATAAAACTGCAGCAGTCATCATCCTTATTTGCCATGTAAACTGTCTCACAAACAGGTAATCTTAAACTAAATCATACAATACTGCTTTATCTGCCTGTAGACAATGAAATTCTCCCATCCCTTCACATCAGTATCTATCCTGCTGTTAGCTATAGATAATTTTCTGAAGCACCAATAAGTCCTTCAAGACCTTGAAACAGAGAGGGGGGTGGGGGGGAAATAAAAAGAAATCTTACCTTGATATCAAAGTTGCACTCAAGCCTTCGAATTAACACAATAAAAGCACTGGACGAGTTGTCTTTCAGCGGAGGTGGGGCTATAGGCTCACATGCATTCTCTGGTTTTGAATTTATTAGGAATCCCTAGAAAACAGGAACAGAAACAGGAGCTTCATTTCTCTTTGTCTTAACAAAAGGGTTGGCAGACAAGTATAGGTAAAGAAAACTGTACATTTTCATACAATAGCTAAACAAATTATTATCAATTGAGTCTTATATCATAGCAAGACTTGGGCTACATCCCTGACTACTTGTGCTAATTCATCAGAATCTTTGTGTCTGTGAAGAATTAGAAAATTAGAAAGAAAATACATTTTTTCCACTTACATCACCTGAAGTTCTTCACTCAGACTCTGCAGTATAATTCAGCATAATTATATTACACAGATAGCGTAGTGAATTGCCAGAAAACAAGAAATTTGTTTTATGTAAATGAAGACTGTGAGAAGCTGCATTGCTGTGTGAACCATAATTCAAGAAATTTTTGTTACAGTTCTAGATATATCCTTGAAAGCTTTAAACTCTGCTTTCACTGACAGTTTTAGCTATATAGAGAGATGTTATCACCTGTGTAGAAATAATAATCTATAATAATTGTATTATAGAATATATAATTATATATAAACATACACAGAAACTGTCAGTTTAAACATACAAAATATATATAAATTTATATATATATATATA